CCAAAGAAGTCTGGGGCACCAGAAGAGGACGACAGTGGCGTGGAAGTCTATTACCGGGAGGGTGAAGATGAGCTGGAGCAGCCAGAGATGCTGCCCAGGGTAAGGGCCGCCGCCACGCATGGAGGCGAAGGCTTCTCGGGGAGGAGCTCCTTGTGTCCCTCCCCAAGAGCTGTGCTGTGCCAGCCCCGTCCTCATTACCTCATTTACTGTAAGAAGTGGGTGATGGGAGCACCTCAGCCAGGCTAGCTCCTTGACTCGGTCTGTTAACACTAATAACATGTTTATTAAGAACTGAATGAAAGAGGTGGGCAGATGAAGAGAAGCCTCAGCCGGTAGCAGCCCACGCTCCTCACTGCTTGAGTGGAGGCTGTGCAAGGTTCAGCTGTGGGCAGGGCCTCCTCCTTTTTGTCAATCCATGCCACCACCAGTATTTCTGTTCCAGACCTGCTACTGTGAGTGTGTGTGAGCATGTGTGTGTGAGAGAGTGGGTGGGTGTGTCTACATTTTATAAAGTCATCGTCTAACTGATTTAGAAAGAACATTTTTAAGTCACTGTTGTCCCCTCAGGCTGATGGGGGGGGGGTGTCCTTTGATGCGGCAGTCGGCAGGGGACAGGTAGCAGTCTGGTCTGTGCTTCCTTGCTCAATGTTCTGGGATCCTGCAGGGAAAGCAGATGAAGCCCGCAGAGGTGCCCCGGCTGCAGCTCACGTCAGGCTTCGTTTGGGACGTGGGGCTCGACTCTCTGACTCCAGCCTTGCCACTCCAAGGAGAGAGCTCAGACAGTGAGGAGGATGAGAAGCCGCAGCAAGCCAAGGTTGGTGCGTTTCCGAGGCTTTGCTCCTCTTCAGGGACTCTGATCCCACTCCTGCGCCCTTTGCTGGCTTAGGTGTCTTCTGTGGGGTCCATGGACTGTCCATAACCCATGGCTTCAGGTCTCCCCAGGGCGTGAAGGAGCAGATGACTGACTTTTCCTCCTCTATGCAGAAGAAGGGCAAGAAGGAGAGGGAGCTGGAGAAGCAGAAGGCCGAGAAGGAGCTGTCCCGCATTGAGGAGGCGCTCATGGACCCGGGGCGGCAGCCTGAGTCTGCAGATGACTTTGACCGGCTGGTGATGAGCTCTCCCAACAGCTCCATCCTCTGGCTGCAGTACATGGCTTTCCACCTGCAGGCCACTGAGATAGAGAAGGCCCGAGCTGTAGCCGAGAGGGCCCTGAAGACCATCTCCTTCAGGTCTGGCCTAGGCTCTTCACTTTCTTTTCACTCACAGAGTTTGCCACCATGGCTCATTTCTTCCTGGCCAGGCCAGTAGTGGTCCATGGTCTGTTTTTCAGACTCATCTCGTAAGTGTAGCCACCCGAAACAGATCACTCATTTATATTTTATGGTCCTCTTCGATGAAATCGCCATGGCAACGTTAACTGGTTCTGTGTGCTAGCAAGGTTCCCAGTTAAGACTGGCAGAGCAGGGGGACCTCAGCACACACCTGGGTGTGAACCTGTTCCTGGCAGAGTGGAGGTGGCTTTCTGAAGCCTGCTTTATGCTTTGCTCCTTCTACTGGGGGAGAGTCAGACCCAGAGTTCTGTTCATCTTCATCATCAGCCGGTTTGTAATCTGGAGGCTTCCTTCCTGGGACTAGAGGGGGAAGCCAGGGGAGGCCCAGACTTGGCAGTAAGAGCTCGGGGAGCCCAGGGTCCACTTTCAGTGTGCTGCCATGGAGACAGCAGTCTCGGCATCGGTCTGCACTTAGAGGTGGGACTTGAGGATGTACGTAGCAGTTGCCTGGGAGAGAGCTAGTTCGTAGGCGTACAGCTTGAGTTGGGAGCTCACGTTCTTCCCACTCCACCTTCAGAGAGGAGCAGGAAAAGCTGAACGTGTGGGTGGCACTGCTGAACCTGGAAAACATGTACGGCTCCCAGGAGTCCCTGACCAAGGTCTTCGAGCGGGCTGTGCAGTACAATGAGCCTCTCAAGGTTTTCCTGCATCTGGCTGACATCTACACCAAGTCGGAGAAGTTCAAGGTAGGATGGTAGGCTCTGTGCCTGGTTGCCCCGGGCCGCTAGGCTCTTGAACAGGCCAGGGCCAGCAGTGTGCGAGAACCCCACCTCCTGGGTTCTGCACCCTGTCACATCCCACATCCTGTCACTTCATAGGCTCCTTCCCTCTGCCTCCCCTTGCTATTCTCACACCTGTCTTCGGTCTGGTCCAGGCCCTTCTTCCCTGGAGGGATGACTAGGGAGGCTCCTTCCTCCCAGTCTCCTCACCTTCCACACTCTCCTCCTCCACTGAATCTTTCCCACAGGAAGCTGGTGAGCTGTACAGCCGAATGCTAAAACGTTTCCGGCAGGAGAAGGCCGTCTGGATCAAATATGGCGCTTTTGTTTTGGGGAGGAGTCAGCCTGGGGCTAGTCACCGCGTGCTGCAGCGAGCCTTGGAATGCCTGCCCACCAAGGAGCGTGAGTGCTCTACCCCATCCCTGAACATACTCGGGCCTGATAGCTGGAAGTGGCATTTGGTGTCTTGTAAAGGGTGGAATGATGGTGTGCTCCTGAATGGTGACGTGTGCAGGCAGGTCAGATGCTGGACCCCAGTAGGGAGGAGCAGACACACTTAGCGCTGATTCTGCTGTCCGTGGGCCTAAGGATGGGGCTGTCTGCATGGCTCTCCTTTTGGAGGTCTGTCTCTCATCATATCATAGATCTTGGCCCTAGAGCAATGAATCAGGCTAACCCTGCCCCTGTAGCTTAGTATGCTGTAGTGAGGGGTCTCTGGAAGTGTCTTGCCTCTGACCTGTCCTTTCTCCGCAGATGTGGATGTGATTTGTAAGTTTGCCCAGCTAGAGTTCCAGCTGGGGGATGCAGAGCGGGCTAAAGCCATGTTTGAAAACACACTGAGCACTTACCCAAAACGCACAGACGTCTGGTCAGTCTACATCGACATGATCATCAAGCATGGCAGCCAGAAGGAAGTCAGGTAAGGACTACGACAGTCAGGGCTGGCTGGTGAGGGCTGGGGTAGGGGCCTTTAGCCACGTTGATGATGTTTAGCCGCCCAAGGCAGTTCCCAGTTGTCTGACTTGATACTAAAAATAAACAGCTTTGGCATGGTTCCCCTGGTCTGCGTGACTTCTCCTTTCCAGCCTTCAGATGTCTGAACTCTCTGCTGGGGGTTGGGATGTCGGGATGGCCCGGGAACCAGGAGACTTGAGATCCCACACGATTCACATTGTGCCTGCTTCTCACTGACGGAACTGTCATGGGTGGGCCCTCACTTTTGTCCCTGGACAATCCCGAAAGGATGAGGGCTGGAGGTGGGCAGATAGAGCAGGGTCCAGAAAGAACAAGTGCCTTCTTGCCTAAGTTTGGCTTCTGTCATTGTGTGTCCTCGTCCCCGTGGCTTTGTCCTCTTCACCGTGTAACTGGGCTATGACAGTAGTTCCTGCTCATGACACAGATGAGAAAGGCTGAGTGTTGGTTGGAGGGACCTAGTGCCTGAGACTAAGTTGGGAGCACTAGCTAGGAGTCATGTATATGGACCCTGAGGGAATTGCTTCCTTGATCTTCCTCCTAGGGACATCTTTGAGCGTGTCATTCATCTGAGCCTGGCCCCTAAGAGGATGAAGTTCTTCTTCAAGCGCTACCTGGACTATGAGAAACAGCACGGCACCGAGAAGGATGTGCAGGCTGTCAAGGCAAAGGCCCTGGAGTATGTGGAGGCCAAGAGCTCAGTGCTGGAGGACTAGTAGCTCTAGGCTCCGCTGGACTCTGTAGCAGCAGGCAGCTGGACACTTGGGAGGCCGTTGCCTGAGGACAGGTTAAGTGCTGCCTTTTCTGCAGCATGCCCGGGACAGTCCTGCCAGAATAAAGAATTTTGAGAAGCTTTCTCCTTTAAAAAAAAAAAATGAAATTAAAAATTATTTTTTGAGACAGGTTTTCCTTCTGGTCCTGGCTGGCCTGGAACTTGCTATGCTGACCTGGCCAGCCTTGAACTCGGAAATCTACTGCCTCTCAAGTGCTGGGATTAAAGGTGTGTACTATCACTTCCTGCTTTAAAATAAATATATATATATATATTTTTATTTACAGTGCCAAGGCTTTACACATGCCAAGCAGTGTTTCTTCCACTAACCCACGCCTCTTGTTTTATGTAACACATTACATCTTCCTTTTCCTTTCCCGAGGCTGCTTGCTCCATTTTTTCAGGCAACTGTCTCTTGGGCTTCAGAAAAAACTAAATACTCCTTTCAGGAGAGCCTGCTGCAGTCTAAGAGCAGGAAGGCAAAGGCCAGTGGCTTTCATGGCCAGGGTCCCACTCCGTGTCTTGGCAAGCTCTCAGGCCACACCTAAGAGGGCGTGGGGAAGACATTGTCTGCCCTGTTGTGGAGACTGACGGACAGGAAGAATCCGGAAGAAAATGGGAAACCGAAGCTACCAAGGAAAGCTGAAAGTATTGCTTGAAGTGCCTGGTCTCCCAAGGCCAAGTGACCCTCTCCCCCACCTCTTCAAGTCTGCCACAGCTCAGCAGGGCTGTGTGCCAGCACGGACCCTACTGGTTGTTGGCTGGCATCTTTTGGGCGGGGGGGGGGGGTGAAGCTTGGGCCTAAGGGAATCAAAAGCTTCTCTGGCAGCCTATATTGTTCTCTGGTTTTTCTGTGAGAAATAGCTGGGCTGGATGCTAGCAAGCAGGACAAGTGAGGTTTCGAGTGTGGAGCTAATTGATACAGGGCTGAGAGGGAGGAGGAACTTGAAGGCTGGCTGTTGGTTCTTGGGAGTTTATTTAGTACACGTTCTAATACGATGTTTTCCACTGAGCTGCCCCCTGCAAAAGGCCAGGCTGCCTCTGACCAGATTACATCAGGTAACTCAATCAAATTGCCAAGAGACTCAGCCCTTGGGCAGGACATGTGGCCTGCCTTGCACCGCTGCCGAGTTTTAGTCCCCCTTAGTAGTGTCCCCTCTCCTCTCACAGCGGGCTGCATGCCCTTGTCCACTGCACAAACACCAGTTTAGGCTTTTAAAGTAAGAGGTTTTATCAAAAAGTTTAAATATATAAAATTAGGCCAGAGGTATACAATGGAGATAGCTTCCTAGCTGTACACTGAGGAGCTGAGCTTCCCTATGCAATTAGACACAAGTTAACTGCATGAAGTGTACTATGCAATAACAGCCCCCCCCCAGTGGGTTGGACTGGCACCAGGCTCCACCGGCTGGTGCTTCTCAGTTTGCAGGTCCACCAAAGAGCACCCACGTCATAGTGAAGGACCAGCTCTGGGAGAGTCCGTAGCTGTGAGCAGTGTTGGTGGCCACAGGAGATGATTTCAGCAGGTCTGGGAAGTCAGTCCCCCCAACCCATCCCTACTTTCTGTGGACCATGTGGCCCACAAGATCCTTAGGAACTCCTAGTTGTTTTATGTCCCAGTGTCTATGCCCAAGACACTGTAGTTAATAGAAAAACCGATGCAGAGGTGAGCATGCCACGAGGGTTCCTTTGAGACGAGTTCCACTTGCAAGGAAGCAGGCTCTAGGAAGGGAGCAGGGCCATCTCCATGTTGTCAGGGGCCGTGCCATTACCTGTCAGGCCCTGGGCCCACTTGTGTAGGCGACTATAGAGTGGGAGGCCTTGGTTCTCGCGGTACAAGTAAACCCCAGTGATAGCATTCCACTGTGGTCGTGGCTGTGTGCCTTCCACTGGGAACTTGGCGACCAGCTCTTCGTCATCCTTGTTGAGGGCCACAAAGCCGAAGAAACGGCGCACGTTGTTGGCAGCCAGCACCCTTGAATGCACCTCGACTGTGCGCTGAAAGAGCTGGTCCTCGTTGGTGCGGTACTGTGCCCAGTAGGCTTCCTGGCGGTAGCTGAGCGGCGAGCAGTAGTGCTTGAGGCACTTGGTCAGGAACACCAGGATGGCCACCACACCGATGAGCAGCCATCCAAAGAGCTGGCCAGAGAATAGGCAGGGCTCAGGGAGGGTCCGAGAGCTGCCTGGACCCCACCTACAGGGGTGGGGCGGTGAGGGTGGGTATGGGGGGGGTTTCAGGGAGGAGGCTGCTTGGACTGCCTGGGAGGGGAGGATGGCAGCAGGGAGGATGGGGGTGGGGATGGAGAAGGAACAGGTTCCGCTCCGGCAGGCAAGCAGGGCTTCCTCTTTCCTAGTCTTACTCCCTTTAACCCACACACTCTCGTGCTTAGCCTGTGCCTTCTGCCCGTTTTATTCTTCAACCCCAAGGGTGCATTATCACTGGACTCCACCAAACCCAGGTCAGGAGCCGGGAGTGGAGCTCAGTGACAGAGCACACATCAAAAATGCAAGGCTTCCATCCACAAAAACCAGTCCAATGTGTGGGTCAGCTCAGATGCCACCTCCGAAGGCTTCAGAGGTCTCAGTCTCACACAACAGCACCATCTGCCTGCCCTTAGATCGCCTGTGTGCTTGCTTCACACTAGGAGGATATAAGTTGCTGAGGGCCAGGATCTCTGAGGCCATCTTCGCCTATTGCTCATATATAGACTGTGGGTTAGTGGCCAGTATTCTGTATTTGCCATCTTCCATCTCTGATGCTGACGCTGGCCCCATTTCTCTGCTTCCTTCCTGCCCCCACCCCAAGACAGGGTCTCGTGTAGCCCAAGTTGGCCTATGCAGCTGAGGATGGTCAGTTTCTGATCCAATCCTCCTGTCTCCTCCTCCTGAGTGCTGAGTTACAGGCATGTGCCACACCTCATTTATTTGATGCTACGGATCAAACACAGGGCCTGATGTGTGCTAGGCATGCATTCTACTGAGCTACATCTTAGCCTTACCACTTCCCCTTATGTTGTTGCTGTTTAAAGAAGTATTTTAGATTTTGCGTTGGGGCCAGGTGTTTGGGGATATGTATATGTGTTGGGGAGCTGTACATGTTTTGGGGTATGTATATTGTTGGGTATATACATCTGTTGGGGGTATGTACATGTGTTGGTAGGTATGCATATGTGTTGGGGTATGTACATGTGTTGGGGGTATATACATGTGTTAAGGGGTATTTTTTTGTGAATGCAGAGTCCAGAAGAAGGCATCAGATTCCCTGAAGCAAGGGTTACAAGCAGTTCTGAGCCTCCTACTGTGGGTACTGGGAACTGAACTCTGGTCCTCTAGAAGAGTAGCCAGTGCTCTTAACCACTGAGCCATCTCCCCAGCCCCTGACCATTCTTTTGACCCCTTTCTCCTTGACCAACATCCAAACAGGATGCAGGGAAGGCTGCATCTAGACCCAAACAACAGTAGCCTGCCTCTTCCCAGCCTGCCCCTGACTCACTGCAGGTCATTCCTGCAGTCAACCAAGTTCCATACCAACTCAAAGCCCACAGCAAATATTTCTGAGGTGGTCTATAGGGGCCAATGCCCAGTCAAGCTAGGGTAAAGATAATCTCAGCAGGTAGATTAGGAATGACCCTGTAGTGTTATGGGATGCAGGATGCTTTCTCTAGAACTCAAGCTGGTGTCCCCTTAGTGCTTAAAACAAGTGGAGTTTCATGGCAGAACATATGCTTGGCATTCATGTGGACTTGGGGTTCCATCCCCAGCATCCAAAGGCAGATCAGAGACACATGTTCCTGTGATGAAACTGACCCTTGCCCCACAGAACACTAAGCCACAGTTAAGCCTGCTCTGAGACCTGACACATGCTTCCCTGGAGAGTTGCTCATTTCCACAATTATGTACCACCCCACCGGCCACCACTGTTGGAGGGAAAGGAGAAGGCTGCCCTTCACACAGCTGCTTACCTGGGACTCATACTTGAGCCTACGGCTGACCTCCTCTCGGAAGCCCGACAGGTTGGCAGGGCCCTCTCCACAAGGGAACCTGGCTAGGATCTCTGTGGCGTGAGCTGAGGGGAAGCCTTCATCCTCAGCTGTGAGCGAGGAGGGGTCCACGAACTCGCTGAGAGCACAGACGTAGGCCTCCCCTCGAAGCAGGGAGATGACGGACCAGGTGACAGGGGCCACGGCTGCACGGCCCAGGATGGAGCTCAGGAGGAGGAAGTTGGGGGCGGCGGAGCAGTTCTTGGCCCTCCGGTACTGACACTCAGCAACGAGGTTCCAAGTGTGGTTGTTGAGGATGACTCCAATAAGGAAGAGTGCCAGTGCTGGCACGCCAATGGCCGTCAGCCCGTACAGGTAGTTCCGGGCAGGTGAGCAGGGACAGTGGAAAGCTACCACAGAGAACAGCTCCTGACTGCCCACCGTGCCCAGAGCCACCAGTCCATTGAAAATCATCACATCCTTGCTCTTGAAGAAGAGAGACAGGAAGCGGAAGTTTTCAGCGATCAAGGCCGCCATGGTGGCTGGTGGGCTGGGGATAGGATGCTCAAGAGGCAGAAAAGGGCGATGCAATTGTGGCTTCTGGTGAGACTAGGCGGGGGCACAGACAGGACGACACCGATGGCGGAGCATGACTATGCCACTGTATCACCGCAGTGGCTGATCTGGTGCTTCCTGTGAAACAGATGTTTGATAAATGTTCACCATTGAACACAGGCAGAGGTGCCGCTGTGATTAAGCAGGTGGGGGAGGAGGGAGCTCAGGGCCTCCACAGAAATGGTGGTAGCCGTAGTTGATTAAGTTCCTGCCGGTGCTGCCTCTCTCCATCCATGTTGCCCTTCCGCAGGAGTTGGCAACCCCCTGGAAGCCTCGTGCATCCCCCCCAACCTCGAGCCCAGAAAAGGGTGAGGCTTCCTGAGGGGCAGCCAGCCCCTGGCCAGGGCCACATGTAAATAAAGGGCAGGCCTCCAAGTTCAAGATCAGGTCTTCCTGCCCCGAATACTTTCAGATGTTTTTGCCACTGCCTTCTACTCATCAGGAGGCTCGAGAATGGCTGGAGGTATTGGGTGAGAGGGGATGACTTCTCTCTGGGATTCTAGGGAGTAAGGATTTGGGACAGTTTGGAGGGTGTGATATGGGTATCAAAGCTGCAGGGGTTGTCCTCGTGGACAAAGAATGGCCTGGAGCCGTGGGTCTGGTGAGAAGCTAGGCCCTCTGGACCAGGGCAAGTTTGACAGAGAAGCCAGCATCCTTGGATACACAAAACCCTTTCATCCTGGAGACCTCAGGGTCTCAACACACTTCATGTCTTTTCTCCAGACTCTATTCTCAACTATGAAAAGAGTAAGTCACTCTGGTCCCTGACCTTCTCCTAGAAACGTTAGGGGATGACAAATGATGCCTGGTAGTCATTCAACAACTAAAACTGAGCTTGGGATGATTCTCATGATGGCAAAGGTCAGAAAATGACGACCTGAGGAGGACAGGTGTCTTGCCTGCAGCCCGGCGAATCTGGAGGAGCAGGGCGAGGCTTTGACCATGACTTGAGGATAATTAGGAAGTGGACAAAAATCAGTCTGAGCTAAACTAGTCCCCATTCACAACCTCCTTCAGACCTGGCTCCCTTTAGACTTCCCCTATCCGGCATCCTGCAGGAGCCTAGGTTAGAGGCCTTCCACAGCTGTCAGCTACTGGCAGCCCTAGTGGGGTTCAGGCCCACTGTACCTGTCAGCCCACCCCCACCCCCCGCCCCATCTGTGACTGCAGCAGAGATGGCACCTTGCCAGAAGTGGCCTTGGCCTCAGGCTCTTTAGAAGTTTAGCCCTAATTCCTTTCCCAGGCTCCACCCACACACAGAGAGACGGCAGGGTGTGGCCCCATGTCCATCCCCATCAGGGGGAAAGAAAAAAAAAAAAAAAAGCAAACAAACAAACAAAAAAGAAACTTCCCAGGTCAGAGCAAGTCTGGAAGTGGAGAGGAGTTAGCGGTGAAGAGACAGGGAGGCCTATGCCGGCTCTTTCTGCTTCTATTCACATTCCTTTTCCTGTTGCCGCCTCTGCCAAGGACGCCAGATGGGCACAGGCAGGGCCATGTGGCTGTGTGGGCTCCAGGAGGAGGAGGAGGGACAGTCTAAGTCCCCAGCTCAGAGCCCAGAGATCCTGAATATTCCACAAGGAAGGGAATCCATCCTGTTGCTCGAGATAAACAGGCCAGAGGCAACCCTGTCCCTCCCGTCCATCCATCCCTTGCTCCCTTCCTGGTACCCAGTCAGTGGCCCCAGGCTCTTAATCCCACCCGATGTTAAAGTACAAATGCCCGGTTGAAAGGGTACTGAGCAGAGGCTGGACTAGGCCATTTTCTGAGATTATTATGCTAAGGGCCTCTCCCCAAGGACAGGGGACAAGCCGCTAAGGAAGGGGGTGGGAACAGTACTTCCATGTCCAGAGTGAGGGACCTACACCAGAGGTTCCCTCTCCAGACAATCCCTGGAGGCTGCCTGGAACCAACCGGCCAGCTCCTTTGACACGGGCACACCCCAGGAAGGGGCCCCTCCTTACCTGAGCCGGCTGCAGGCACCAGTGGCCTTGGCTTCCTGGGCTGGCCTCTCAGAGTGACAGCGGTGTGGGCACTGCAGACCCTGCACCGACTCAGGGCAGCAAGGCGAAGTGGCCTCAGGGCGCCGCGGGTTCACTGTGGGCTCTGCTTTTGCGTTTGAAAGCAACAGGGCTTTGGGCCCCAGTTACAAACAAACAACTCCAGGCGTCTTAAACTGCAAGTATCTGCAAACAAATTTAACTCCAGAAAGAGAGAGAAAGAGAAACAGTGGCATGGAACTTTCTCACCAGCGAGTGGAAAATCAGCCTCCTGGCGCCAGGCAGAGGAGGGCGGGCTGCTGAGGGCGGTGCCACACCGAAACAGAGGAAGTACTGGAGTGGTCTCAGCCGCTGCGTCCTGTCCCAGCCCGCCTCTGGGCCCGCCGTGGCTGGCCCTGCCTCCGCTCTACACTGTGCACCCCTGGGGGCTATCTGGGAAGGTCTAGGCAAGAGCCAGGCGGGGCCCTCCAGGAGATCTTGCCCAGGCTTGCCCTCCAGGCCAGTTTAAAGAACAACCCCCGTGCTTGACACCCACCTGGCAGAAGCTTCTGGGAGTCAGGGCAGAGGTGGGTGTTCAGGATTGATAGTGTTGTTCCAGAATGTAGAAGGTCAAGACCCCTTCCCCTCTGCCCTTCTCTCTCTGAGAGCCCTGCCTTCGTGTGTACCAGCCATCCCCAGAAGAGGCTTTCCCCACCACGGTTCTGCTAACCCCCAGCACCGACCGGCCCCATCCTTCCCTGTACAGCTGACACCTGAATCCAGGAATCACAGAATCCCCTGGGCTCCTAGGGCAGAGGCTGGGCAGAGGTAGAAATTACAGGGAAGCAGGGCTTCTAAGATGCCCTGCCTGTCCCTCCCTAGAGTCGCCACCAGCTCCTATCTCTGGGAGTTCACAAGCAAGACTGGAGAGTCATGAGTCAGCAAGTATGGTGCCATGGAGAGCACCGAGACCAAGCCTAGGATTGGGAGAGATAGCCCCAGGGCCACCAGCTCTCCAGGGACTCACACTGAGGGACAAGCTGACCTCCCCTCCCCGACTCTGGCCTGTCTGCATGGCAGGAATGAATGGAGAGGAACCCTTATCTTTTTATCCTTGCCTTCTGATGGGCGAGCACTTTACGGGTTGAGAGACTTGTCTTAGCTCCCACCACTCTGGTGCTCAAACCCCAGGTCTCACCAAAGCTTCCCCCTTTGCTTCTCCAAGCACTTTCTGGCATCCTGACCCTAGCGGAAGCCCACACACCAATGCACACTCTGTCTGCATTCATCTGGTCCCTTCATTCAGGGCTGGAGTCAAGTTCCCCAGCCTCTTCCCTGCCACCGGGTTCCACGAGAGGGAAGATGAAAAATGAAGGTCAAAGTGAGCTCTGAGATGAGCAGAGCCGAGGGAGGGCTGGAAGATGGGACTGGGAGACAAGAAACCTGCCTGCACCTCTGTTTCCTTTGCTTGGACAGGATTCCTGTCCCTAGGTTGGGGCCGAGGGAGGGGAGAGCAAGCAGCCCATGGGCTCAGAGATGAAGACGCTCATTAACCACACTGACCCAGGTGTCTACTATGTGACCTGTGAGTTCAGACATGGTCAACCTGTGAGGTAGATGCCTTCTCCCTCTTGCACAAATGAGGGGACTGGGACCCAAAAATGAGGCGCTAGGCCCAGTGACACACTTTACAAATGGCAGGACCAGCATTTACCCAGCTTTGTCCCTCCTAGTCTTTATTTCCCCTCTTAGTTGATATCCTCATCTTCACCACACCTTGGGGCAAGCTCCTCAGGGAGCCTCTGAGAAAGTAAGAATTCATCAGCTTCCATTTGTAGCTGTCAAGCCCCACGGGTGGTCTGCTTCCCTAAGATTGTGTGTGAGAATATTAATCTTGTGCCTGGTGTGAGGTAAGCATGGAGTCTGCCCCAAAAGTTGCTCTAATGGTCCCTGTGACACACACCTTGGCCTCTCTCATGTGGTCCTAGGTCTTGGCATTTTATCATGTGTCACCCAGGCATGTCACACCAACTGAAGGCCGTTCCACCTTACCCAAGAAACTGGCAGACATGAAGAGAAGACATGAGCCTGAGCACCTGAGCATGAGAGAAGTCTAGAGCAAGAGGAAATGCTGGGTGTGGGCTTTGGAAGCCTAAGTGGAGACAGCCAGCCTGGGATGGAAGGAGCATCACAATGAAGGGACTCGGGTACCAGTCCGGGTACCCTTGCATCCTGCTCCCACAGCCAGAAGCGAACACTTGTAATACTGCAGCAACAGGCGAGCCACAGGAGACACTGCTCCCAGGCCACCCAGAGAGCATCACAGCGAAAGAGGTACGGTCCTTCAGCTCCAAATTTCCTTTTCCACACTAACAGGTTATTGCCTGGACTTGTGGCTACGCCTCAAAATTGCTTTTTCTGTCTACTTGGAGGGGCAAAGGGCTGTGGGTTCAGATCTCTGCTCATGTCTCTGCAGCCAGCTACAGCTCACACTTTGCTGAAGTAGGTGGCCACTTCCTTGCGTGGAGGCCGGGGCTCGCTCCCAGCCCAGCCATTGCCCATCAGTGGTGCCTCCTGGTCCAGCCGCAGTGGCGGTTTGCATTTGTGCCAGCTTGTGAGCAGTTTGTTCATGGCCCCTTGGTCAGTGATACCACGCAGCTTCCCCCTCTCTTCCTCCGTCTTGTCAGAGGGACTCTGAGAGGCCTCCATGGTTGTCGCTGTGGCCGTGGCCAACACTCCATGTGTGTGACCCAGTTCCAGGTCATGGTTCATGGCTTCAAAGAACTGCTGGATACATACCTTAGCAAAGGCCTTGGCATGCTCTGTGCATGTCTCATCGAAGAGTTTACGCTCGATGTCAATGTAGTGGGACCAGTACTTGCTCTTGAGAAAGGCAGCCTGCGTGAAGCAGGGTCGCACAGAGCGTACCACAAATGCCAGTAACGTGGCGAGCAGCACGAAGGACCAGCCCAGCGCCTGTGGGGAGAGAAGGATGTCAGCAGACTACCCGCCCTTCCTGATCTCCCCACCTAGTGGCCTTCTTCCTCCAAGCTTGGGGCCTTTCCTCCGGCTTCTGGAACTGAGAACAGTTCAGGTGCGCTAGACTCTGAAGGAATTCCAGAGACACCCTGGACAGTTCTCGAACTCCACTGAAAAACCTGGGACACTTGGCTTTGACATGTGCTCTGACAGTAGCTCACCACAGGGCACAGAGCAGGACACCCCTCCCTGTCTGTGCTCCCCGTCAGACCCCCATCTGCACAGAGAAGAGTTGGGAAAAGTCAAGGAGGTAGGGTAGGGGTGGGTGTGGTGTTAGTGATGCTCAATGGCTGCCATGGGGGCAGGTGGGAAAATCCAAAACTCAGTCAGGGGGCTGCCGCCCAAGCTGCTCACTAAGTCATTGTGGTTTCAGAGGGCTTGGGTTTTCTCATGTTCCAAGGGAAGTTGGAAGTATGATTTTTTTTTTTTCTTTAGCAATTTCTGATTTCTAGGTAAAGCCAACTAATTCTAAAGCAACTTCAGAATTGAGTCTCTACTCTTCACAGGGACTTGTCTACTATCAATCTGTTTGTGGCCTCTAGGGGGACCTTCCCGCTTATACAGTGTGACAGTTTAAAGGTCAAGTGGAGTGACAGCTGCTCCAGGCCCTGAGGCCCAGGGTGATGGGACAAGGGGCCACAGAAGAGGAGGTAAAGAGCTCGGCTTCGAGCTAAATTAGAGATCCTTGAGGCTGTGTGTGGGGGGACAGGCTGTACAGGAAAAGAGTCCCCCTGTCGGAGGGGGTAGGGAGAGGGCAGAAGGGAGGAGTCTGCACTGGCTAGAGCAATGTATGCTTGCTTCTCTAGCCCCACCAGAGCAGACGAGGCCTTCTGCCCGTCTCTCCTCATCACACAATTCACCGCCCCAGGACACAATGCCCAGATCCCAACCATCCATTGCTGTCATCCATGTGCTCCTGTTTAAGGTACCCAGACCCTCAGCTTCCACTCCTGGAGCAGGGAGGCACCAGCTGGGGGCATTTGCCAGGGAAATGTACCCAAATGGCTTAGCCTCCCACTGGTCTCACTACTGCCTGGGCCTGGGAAAGGAAATGAATGCAAATTCTCTCAGCTCTGAGCTCAGGATGGAGGAGGTGGAAAACCATACACGCTCTCCAGGTGACCATGTCTGAGAGAAGACAGGGGCTCTGCCTTGAGTCTCAGCTTGGAATGCATGCCTCAACCCACAGCCACCCGAGGGAAAACCCCACTTTGAGAAGGGACCTTCCCAGAGGGACCCTGGCCTGTAAGGAGACCCAGCCCCCTCACCTGAGAGATGCAGCGCAAATATCGCACGGCCACCTCTCGGGCCAGCAGCCAGTTCCCATCATAGATCTCAGGGCAGGGTACCCGAGCCAGCAGGCGAGCCAACTCTGCAGCAGGCAGGCCAGGCACCAGGCTGCCATTGCCTAGTGTGGCCACGGGCACTGCTGTGCAGAAGGCACAGAGAAAACACTTGCCATCCAGCAGTGTGACAGCCACCCAGATGACAGGAGCGATGAGAGCTCGCTGGGCCATGGAACAGAACATGTAGCGAAGCACGGCTGGGTCCTTGGCCCTACGGCCTGCAGGGCGCTTCCACTCTTCAGCGAGCATAGATACATTGTTGTTCATGACTAAGCCAAGCAGGAAAAGCACCAGGGGAGGCGTCAGCAGTATACCCATGCTGTAGGCCACATTGTAGCCAGGCAAGCAGGGGCAATTGAAGTCAAAGGCAGAATACATCTGGGCACTGGCCAGCGCCATGATGCCACAGATACCGTTCATGAAGGACTCTTGGTTGGACTGCAAAAACTGGAAGATCATCCGAAACTTGTCCATTATGTCCTGTGAGTGTCCTCAACCTCTTCCTCTCTCACTGTGGCATCGCAGACAACTCCAGTGAGCCACCATGCCCACTGGGCGACCACCTCATGACTGGGATCCTGGCTGGACTAGCAGAGCTCCCGGCAGTTGATGAGGCCACTCTCTCTGCCTCTGAGGAGCCCTTTACACAGGTGCTGGGAGAGAGGACGCAGCTTGACCAATCCTGTGGGTACAGCCCTCCCTCTGCCTTCCCTCCCCATCTCTCCAGCTGCCTGCAGCCTAGAGAGCCAGCCAGCCACAAAGCTGCCTGATGAGGATGTTTCTTTTGGGTGTAGGAGGGAGGAGGAGGTGCAGGAAGGCTGGAGTTTTCGAGGCCACTGGGCCTGGGGAAGCATGTCATCTCTCTGTGCCCTTCTGAGTTCTCTCTACAATGGCAGGACCCCAGGAAGGGTTCCCATCAGTTGAGACAGGGAATGAGCGGTA